CTGTGTGCTTCTCAACTAGCAACAAGGAGAGTTTATGCAAGGAATCTACAATGAAGTTTAATTCACTTTACAGTGCTGAATACTTGGGCTGCAAACATGAGAGCACAGTCAGTATACTCTCCATACAGCCTGTATGAATTTGCTACCAAATACCAACAGGTAGAAGATTCACCTTCTCTTTAGCACTTCTCTCTTCTCTATCCGGTTAAACAGCTCCTGCTCTCTCTCCTTTTCTGTCATTTGTTCCAGTCGAGCTCGGTCTTCTTCATCTCCCATCAAATCTTCTCCATAGCCATCATGGAATTCCTCATCTTCAGATGAAGAATCTGAATCTGAGCTAGATGAGGAGCTGTTGCTTTCAGAGTCAGAGACTTCTCCTAAAACAAAAACACAAGGCAGTGAGATTCAGCTGGGGCAAAGCCCAACCACTTCATTGCAGCATGTTAGCAAAGGATATCAAGAATGAATATTACACTCCTCTTCCACTATACTAAAAGCATACATATAATGAAAACCAAATCCAAGAGGAAGTACTTCATTAACATAAGATATGCATGCTAAAAAATGGTAAAATGAATGGTACTACAGGTGAACACAAATTGGGTTATAAGCAAAAATTCTTAATAGAACAAGCAAATTTTAGGAGGCCTTTTGGTAAGCGTGTTAGGGTCTTAAGGTTAGACTTCTATCCCTATATGCTTATGTCCTTGAGCAGTTACTTGTACATCCATAACTTTATAAGTGTGTGTAGCACACCTCAAATGCCACTATTATCCATCAGTACTCCTCATTATAGCAACCTGAAGAACCAAAATTTGTCATCTGAAGTCTGCAACACTATGAATTGCTACGTCACAAGATAAAGTTGAAACACACTACCCTCAGGACTGGCAAGGCTGTGATGCTAGCTCCATTACTGTAACAAGCCCTCCCAGTTATACACAGGCTTAGGGAACAGCTAGTAATACCAATAATATTGGGTAACACCACCTTTAAACTTGATCCAAGTCCAAGTGCTTTGATTGTATCACCTAATGAACTATATTACACTAAATCACAAAAGCAGACACTAGGATTCTTTCATCCACTTCCATTCTGGTCTCAGTATTTCTGGAAGCTTCCAGCTATGCTGTGAAAAACTTTGATTTGCACGCACTGACATATACAGGTTCAGTCACTTCATGCTTTGCCTGTCTCTGCTGTGCTTAATATGCTTAATGTACTTAAAACTGTAGGTTCCTTCATATTCTTTCTTAACTTTGTTTTTTTAGTATCAACTGAAATTGCAACTAACAACCTGCAAAACTTCATAGGCATGATGAAAACAGGAAAGAACACAGGAAGTTTGCCCAGCATTGGAACACATTCAATATTCATGTAAAAAAAAAATCTGATGAAGTTATAGTAACGATTTTTCTTCTTCCATGTCAGTATAAATGTGCAAGAATTCCAATTCAGAGAAAACGCATGAAAGATAAGCTCGTATTTTGCACTGGGGAGGTTTAGATTGGGTATTAGGAAAAATGTCTTCACTGAAGGGGTTGTCAAGCATTGGAACAGGCTGCCCAGGGAAATGGATGAGTCACCATCCCTGGAGGTATTTAAAAGATGTGTAGATGTGGTGCTTAGGGACATGGTTTAGTGGTAGACTTGGGAGTACTAGGTTAACAGTTGGACATGATAATGTTAAAGGTCTTTATAATTCTTTGATTGCATTTGTATCATGCAACACTATACACCTCTCCCTTTGTCATCACAAAAAGCTTGGGAAGGGAAAATACATCCATGGGAATAAAAGAAAATACTACCCATACGACATTTTCCAAGAGAAAGTCACAGAACGGCAAGGGTTGGAAGGGACCTTGGGAGATCATCTAGTGAAGTAATGGAACATGTCATACATTCTTCAGCTGAATTGGTATTTAGTGTTGCATTTGTAATGGAGAGCTTACAGCAATGCTCTACTGAATTATATACACTTCAAGCCACAGCAAGTTTAAGAGTCATCCAGACTATTGGTAACACAAAGGAAACTCTTTGAAGGTAGTCTTTAACATCACCATTTGACATTACTCTTCAGCGTGCACAAAGGGGTAACTTCACTTGGAATTACACTGTAAATAGGCATACATGTGTTATCTTACCCTCTTCAGGTGCTGAGCTCTCAGCCGAGCTGTCTTTATCTGAGCTGCCTGAAGAGGCAGCTTTGTTCATCTGCTTCTTCATGGCTCCTTTTTTCTCTGCCTTACCCGCTTTTCCCTTTTTTTTGTTTTTGGAACCTCCAACAGTCCACTGCAAGGAAAGAACCAAGAAAGGGAGCATGAGACATGAACATCACTCTTTTCTCCCTCCCCCAAAACACTGGAGTAAAACAACTGAGAAACAGTCCAATACCAGACAGCAACAAATCCGTCATATGCAGGGAAGTGGAGGGAAAAAAGCCAATAGGAAACATCAAATGAAAACATTTTACAAGGTTTTGGGGGCTTGGGAGGCTGTTGTGTGGTTGATTTGGATTTTTTCTTTTTTTTAAAAAAAAAAAAATCAGTTATCAGTGCAATCTAACAGTTGGTAGGACACTCCTTTTAAAAACAATGAAGACTTCAGAGTCTGCAATATGTGACACGAGAAAAGAGGTACTGAAAACATTCTCCTAGGAAAATAACTTTAAACAACCGTCCAACTGCATTTGTAAAGATTAGCTTCAGCTTACTACTATTAAACAGAAGCAGCAACAGATGTGTTTCCAAAACTAGTTTATTCAAGAGCAGATTTTAGATTTCACGAAGGCACACCAATTACACAACAGTCTTTCCAAAATCTCAGTTTCACCAGGAGTATACAACACCTGTATTTTTATGCAACAAGCCAATAGCACACTCACTCATACAGTAGTGCCACCACCTGCATCTATATACACAAGTCAGAATCAAATCAGAATCACAGAAGTCAGGGAAAAAAAAAACAACAAAAAAACCCAAATGTCAAGTCTTAATTTTAATTTTCTCTTAACAGCATATCCTCAATTAACTTAGACTGCACTTTCCAAGTACAGGACTTCTACTACCATACACACAGGAACAACTTTAAATCCCAGGAGATAAGCTAGTATTTACCTTACAGTGTGATTTCTTATTAGAATTTTTGCATTGTCCCAGCCACCTGGATGGTAAAGCCACATAAAAGAACCAATAAGGATTGCCTATGTATTATTTTAAGGCTTATTGTATTATTATTGTGTATTATTTTAAGTCCATCCCTGCAGGCAGTAATCATTCCAACAAATTTGATTACTTCTGCCTGATTGGGCACCATCTTCAGAGAACCCTGGTTTTCAAGTACTCCAAACGAAACTCAGCTGAGTAGTTAGAAGCTACTACCTGACCGACTAATACTTTAGAACTCCCTACGTTTTGATTACTCTCACACCCAGCCTTGTACCTTCCATATTACCACCTGCTTCATCATCTTCATTAAGCATCAGCTGTGCATTCCAAAGTATCTGTCAAAGGCCAGGCAGACATTTTCTTTTCTGAGGTGAAAGTACAGCTACCTAGTGGCGAGCCTCCAATTGTAACGCATGCCCTATGCAATTAGCCCAGTCTATTATGGTCCATAGGACAGATGAGAAACTGCACATAAAGCATCTGACTTTACATCAGCCTGAGCTTGCACTCAAGTCTTCATTGGCTTCCACATTAAAGTTTTACAATACTAGTGCCTAATAATATTCCTGGTTAACTATGCCCATGTAAATCACTCAAGAACAAGCTTCTGCTCTGCCCAAATCTGCTCAAACCTCAACATTAAGGAACCATCTCCTAGGTATTACAGAAAAGTGCATTTTTGCTATTTGTTCAAGAGCTCACCTACTGCCAGCATCCTAGTGAAAACACAACAGTGAAGAAGTGAAACTGAGCATTTAGCAGGGAGAAGCAAAGCCCCCTGACCCAGGGATGCAGAGGTGCCTCCATCCCAGAGCTCTGCCACTTCTTTTCTAACATCGAATTATACCTTGCGTCGGCATGCTGTATAGCAAGGAAGCAGCACAGAGAAAGCTATAGTATACATCACAGTTATATCAAAACCTTGAGAGGTCATGCTGAGATGAAAGAAGTTAAGATCAGATAAAAAAACAGTGGGACTTCAGTTGTTAATAAAATGTGTTTAATAGTTGTAGATACACTGTTCTCAGCCTTTGACTCACAAGCAGAATTGTGGAGAGAATCTGGGTCCAGGAAGATGGGACTGAAGAGAAAGCTGTGTGACATTCTCTTGAACAAAAAGTAATAAAAAAAATTATCTGCCCTAATCTAGGAAATTTACACTTCATCTCGCTTTTGTTTACACAAGTGACCTCTACATCTTTTAAGTCACAATAACTGGTTGTCACTTCCCAGTTTCAGTGCTGTCACAAAGCTAAATTCTTTATCAACCAACTCAGGTGCTTCAGGGGTTATTCAGCTACCCTCAATCTCTCATCAGCACCTGGTCATTCCCGGTACCTCTACAGGACAAGGGTTCAAGCAAGCCTTAAGGACAAATAAGCCACCAAAACCAGGATGTAGTCAGTTTGAGGCTCTGTTAGGCTCACAGATTGCTCTGCAGGCTCAGCGCCCATCAGTTGTCATTTGGACACTGAATGAACACTCTGTATTGTTCAGAGAGAGACTAGCATACATCATTTCTTCTTAGAGCAGAAGACGTAACAGAGATTAGCATGTCTGGGGCGGGGGAGGCAACACTGGAAAGGCATGACCTGCACTGCAACCTGCAGTCCAAATCAGTCTTAAGCCCCTTCCTCATGCCCTAGCACACCAGCCAAGGTCAGAAAGGCAACAACGTTTGCATGCAACATCAAGTAAAAATGCACTCACAATTAGAGTCAGAAGCATCTGTTTCCCTTACCTCCATGCATGTCAAACAGCAAACAATAACTGTATTTTCCAAGATCTGTCCTCTATTGCAGCTTCTCTGGGTTCCCTCTTCCATGTTCCAGTCAGGCAGAGCCAGTCAACACCTCACATGCTTTCCATGACTACACACCACCTCCTCTAAACAGCCCTTCTATTCACTGCTGCCTCCTCGGCCACCATCTGGAACTCTCCATGATTCCAGACACAGCAAGTTAATAAATCCATACAGAAGTGTGCTACAACATGGCCTCCTGCTTATTGTTTAGTACTATCAAACAACAGAGCTTTATGGTTCATTCACAGGAAGTAGCCAGAAGAGCATTTTGATTTTTCCTCTTGCTTCAAAAGATTCACAGTGCTAATAGCTCGCATATTTCCCTAAAGAAGTCCAAGTTAAGCCACAGTACCCAGAATGGACTGACAATAACAACCCACACACATTAGAAATCAGCCAGATTTAGAGGTCAGCTTCTACAAAAGCAACTACACAAAATGATTGAAGAAAATCATTTATAGCTCAGCAAACCTGGAACATATTTCCACTTGGGAGATGAAATGAGATTGAGGAGGGGGAAAAAAAAAAGTGAGCTCTCAGAGAGTGCAGAATGCAGTAGAATTGTCTTACCCCTGCTGCTCAGATAGTCGAGATTTGCTTCTATTCACACATTACCTGAATGTATTATCCACTAAGATTTTATTTTGCAAATAGGTATTCTCCCTGCTTTTTTTTTTTTTTTTTTTTTTTTAATTATTTACATCAAACCAAAGAGATACACAACCAAGGTTACCGGCCTGCCCTTGCCATATCCTTCCCTCCTGGATACAGCTTTTGTAAGTAAAAGGCAAATTACAAGCCACAACATCAAAACATCAGTCCCTCACCAATGTGTTCCTTTCCTAGGCCAGATAAACTTATACACCATGACAACATGATAGCTTAAGAGTGCCAAGGTACAGAAGTCCAGCTTACAAACTTTCATCCATTCTCCTCCGTGCATACAGGGAAAACAAAAGGCAGTCCTCCAGGCAAGTCAAACTGCATTTCAGCCTGTCTGAAAACAACAGCAGGCAGCACAGATAGGAAGATAAGGCAGCATTTACTGTCTTCAGGGTTTCTCAAAGCTGAAAGACTGTGGAGGCAGCACTCCCAACAGCTACAAGGAAGAAAACACTCTCTACCATTACTGTTAAAACTAAATAGTAAATAAAAAGTTTTTGTTACTTTTCTCGCCTTTCAGGGTCTGCACACTTCATTCAGATGCCTCAAACACCTTCACAATGACAGCAATTAGAAAACTTAAAGGACAGTTTTAGACGCAGGGAGGAGACTCAAGGTGTCAACACCAAAATATAAAGGAGATAAGCAAACAAAGGAAACACCTTCTGAAGCCACAGAAGGGGCTTTGCCAGGAACTGGCTGAAAGAAGGCTTCATGGGCCAAAATATCACCAGACACCAGATCCACCCTTATTGTCCAACTCAAAGGAGCTCACAGAAAGGTAACTACGGGGGTGGAGGGGGGTGGGGGGAAGATCTGCCTATAGTAGGTTCAAATTCAGTTTAAGCTGAGAGTTAACATTAGCTCTAGAAGTATTTTGAGGGTCCATGTGTTGAAAAATGGCAAGAACTGCTGAGTGACAACACTGCACTGAGATGGTAGATACAAATGCCAATGAAGAAGCACTCTCCATAATCAAAACAAACTTGTACTGGCTGTGAAAACCTGCAATGTTTTATTTCAGAGGCCTGGGCCAAACAGCTGGAGATGGCAACAGCCATAAAACACTTGGTCAATGAGTGCCTTGCGGGGCTCTAGCATCACCAGCCAGCAAGCATCATCTGGACTAACAAAGGTTTAATGACTTCTCTAGGTATTAGACAGTGCCTTATGACTGGATTGTTCTCAGCAAGAACAGCTCCCTGGGTACCAAGGAAAAAATCACTCAGTGAAAAAACTTAAATAAAATCACGTATTCAATTCCAATACCTCTGTGAGTCTACTTCTGGAGCAACCTACTCCAGAGCTCCTGCAGTCTTTCATACCGCATAAATCGAGTCCCCAGAAGTTGTCCCCGTGCTAGCTTGCAATTTAAAGAAGCTACTTGCAGACCAAATTTTATACCTATTTTGTCCACAGCTGTTCACATCACTTCTTTGGACATGCTAGCCTCCATACAATTAGCCTGCACTATTCAGATTTGCACTTGCACTTTGTTTGGGGCGGGGGGAGTAACAGCACATCTTAAGGAAAGCTTTACAATTCTCTCATTAACAGCTGAGGGAAACTGTCTCCAAGAAGAGTCAAAATCACAAAGTACACAGCCTATATGGCTGTGTATAGAAGATTAAAGCACAGCCCGTTTCAAATTTCTTAAGCTTAAAAAAAAACATGTGTATGGCAAAGGCCTCACAGGACTGGAGAACCCCCTCATTCTTGGAGGCCTATTTAAGCAGTATTATGAAATAAAAGCACAGAGGGAAGGAAGACATTTAGCATCATAATCTCTACAAACTCACAGAAGAAACCCCCAAAACAAAAGGAACATATACAGTTTTCTGCTAACCTGTGGTTTACTAGAGCACTCTAGCCTGAAGTGCAATAAGTAGATCCAAACTTTCAAGCCCTTTCCTCATAATAGGGGCAGAAAGCCTCCTAGGCTGTTATTTGAGACAGATTTCCTCACTGGCTGCATGACCACTGTTCACCTCTTCCTCTGTCCCACAGCTCCCGACGAGATCTTCAGCTATGATGTTTCCTACTGAATCTGCATATTTGCAAAGGCCTAAACAGATATACCTCACTAAACTCCAGCCTACTACCATGCATTCATGATATAACTTTTCTGGTCCTGAAGTTATCTTCTGCTATCGCCCTAGAGATGTTAAAAGGCACAACCAAACCCCTCACAACATTAGAATGAGCATAGAAAGATGCACAGACTTACACCAGCATTGCTAACAGCAAACCTTTCAAGAGAAACAAACAGGAGCTCCTACAGCATTGTGGCTTTCTGTCGAATTGTCGTGACTTAACCAGGCGGGCAGCTGAACACCACAGAGCCGTTCGCTCACTCCCCCCGCAGTGGGATGGGGGAGAGAATCGGAAAAAGGGTAGAACTCATTGGTTGAGATAAAGACAATTCCATAGGACAGAAAAGGAAGGCAAAATAGTAATAGTGATAAAAGAATATACAAAACAAGTGATGCACAATGCAATTGCCCACCACCTGCTGACTGATGCCCAGCCAGTTCTCAAGCAGCAGCCATGCCCTGCCCTGCCCTGGTCAACTCTCCAGTTTTTTTTGTTCAGTGTGATGTCATATGGTATGGAATATCCCTTTGGCCAGTTTGGGTCAGCTGTCCTGGCTGTGTCCCCTCCCAGCTTCTTGTGCACCTCCAGCACCCTCACTGGCATCCAGTATAAGAAGCTAAAAAGTCCTTTGCTAGTGTAAGCACTGCTCAGCAACAACTAAAACGTCAGTGTGTTAGCAACATTATTCTCATCCTAAATTCAAAACACAGCACTACACCAGCTACTAGAAAGAAAATTAACCCCATGCCAGCCAAAACCAGGACACTAATCTAACACTGATGTTAGTGAAGTTGTTGCAGAAGTCATCCAGGCTTCACCACACAACCGAAAGAATTCTCTTACTGCAGTTATGCAATTATGCTAGAATAAAAGGAAGAGCAAGAACCCAGAATTAACCTACTGCAACTGAGGAATACCATCTGCACAACGTCTTCAATAAGCAATGATGGTACGTTGTAGACATATATATATCTAGCACAGTCGCCCCAATAGAAACTTGGCTAACAGCAAACTGGTTACATGCACCAGGATAACAACAGTTTGGGATGGTGAGCTCTTGGGTAGCCATGGCCACACATTGCTCCACAGATAAAGAAACTGTCTCCACATCTGTATCCAGCTTAGTATAACTCTGAGAAGGTGGTACTTCTTACTGCAAAGGTCTGCAATCATTGCTATTTATCAGTTGTCAGAATGACAGTTCCAGTCCATTCAGTCATGCACATTCCACAGACCCACCAGAAGATGGTTCACAGCCTCCTATTTCATTACCTGCAACTCCTCTTCAGTCCCTCGGCTAGATAATTTGATTCCAACCACGCAGGTACTTAAAACGTTACAGAACCCAGCACCTGCACCATGAACACCTGACCTGACTATGAGCTTTCAAAGAAGCACACGCGCACCAAGACACAAAAATATCATGTTAAAGATCTACTGAAATTGCTTGGTCACCATTATATAGATGTGGCATGATTTGTACTTCCTGTCATTCTGTAATTCCAGAATGCATTATCTTTCCCCAATGTCCCCCAAACTTTCCTCCCTTTAAAAAAAAAAGACAGAATGCAGCATTGGACTCTGAAGCAGAGATTTAGGCTCCTTTCCTGTACATTGAACATAGTGACAATCCTGGAACATCTAGCACTTGCCAGGGACCACAAAGGATGTACACACTACAAAATCTGCGTGGAAGCAAACGGGCATGATTAAGCACATTCGCCCAGGGCAACAGTTTCCATACTTTTGCCTCAAGGTTCTCATCTTGCAGGAAGACCAGTAAGACAATTTCAACTTTTAAACCCTCTCTCCCAATGCCCAAGGTTGAGCAAAAATCAAATTAACCACAAGAACACCAATTAAAACCAAAGTTGTTCAAGCAGGAGTAGTGTAGTAAAGCCTAGGGATGCACACAACTGAATGACTGGCAGAAGCACGACTGTCATAACCCAGCCTGTCTCACCCTGCTGTGAGAAGCAGCAGTTCAGAATGCATATTTCAGGCACAGGAATAGAAGCAAGCGTCCTAATTACCTCTTCTCTAAATCTTTTCCTCTTGCTGCACAGAGGTCAGAAAGAACAGAGTATCAATTAGAAATGATACACAGAAAGAAAGTACCAAATGCACATCATGCAACAGAGATACAACTACATCTGGAAGGTCCATGCAAATTCGTGAGGAGATACATTGTCATATTCTACATATAACGGACAGGTAACTACATCTGAGGTCTACACAAGCTAAAAAAAATTTTGAATAATATTATTTATTTTGTCTTCAACAATAAACGCAGAGCAGAAAACTTTATCATCGAGCTGCTCTCCACACCTAAGTCTACTTTCCCAGACAAGCTGGTCTCCACACAGCTTAGAATAAACTAGCTGCGTGCCAGCAGATCAGAACACACGCAGTGACAAACTGCGTGGTCACCCAATATCAAACGTAATATCTAGTCCATTCATAATTTTCTCTCTCCTTATATCTTAAGCATTATTAGATTCAAGTCTTTTTTTTTTTTTTTTTTTTTTTTTTTTTTTTAATTACAGGATTGATTGTGAAACAGCGTTCCAAGCGTATTTATTTCAAAACTGCCTCAGAAAGAAAAATAAACCACACGTTCTTTACACTTATTGGAAGAACTCTGCTACGCTACCAAATGCTTAATAGCTAATACTTTATTGTTGGCCTACCCTATCGGTCTTCCATTTGTCACAATGAATAATCCTTCCTGTAGTTTCAGCAAATTCCACCCACCCCAAACAGCTGCCTGTAAAATTTTTAAGAATGACTGGAATAAAGGGCCTCTCTACATTGCACAGAAAGCTTGCAAAAGGTATTTGTAACCTTTCAAGAAAATGTTTCTATTCAAATACCTGTCTGGTCTGTTTGTCAGTTCCTCTGTTTTAATAAGTTGATTTCAATTTTCATTTATACATGAAAGCAGAGACTTTTAACCAGCTCTAGAAAGTAGTACAAGAACAAATAAAAACAGATCTAGCCGATAAGCACTGCTTATCCACAATAAGGAATTGACAAAACCCTAGAACAAAGTAATTCTAAACTCTTCCTTGCCTTACGTTCTTCAAAAATGCCAATAAAACCACCCTCTGTTGCACGTTCAAACAACCAGACAAGCTAGTTCACGGTAGAGTTCTTGGAGAATCAAAGTAGCTAAATGGAACAGTTTTACCACCTGTAAAATAGTACCACTTGCCTTGACCCTTTTCCTCTCTGAGGAAGGAAGCTCTCTTCTAAAGCTGAAAACCTCTCTCCCTTGAATTCAGAGTCCAGCTTTACCAGCATCACTGCTGCTTCAACCACAAGCATTACACAGGAAAAACACTAGCTTTAAGCAGGCAGATCACCAGACCATTCAGACCATATGAACATGGGATTAAACAGACAGTCATCTTTTCTATAGACATTCAGACTACTTTGTACACTGCCACACTTCAAAACATACTAATTACAAGAAAAAAAGAAGTATTTCTGAGTACACGTCCTCTGGGCTTAATGGGCGTCCATCAGTTCTACCGATGGCCAGTCCCCCTTTATGAAGCCAGCAGGCTAAATATACTGTATGATAAATATACTTTCACTACTTAGGTACAATCAAACAAATAACCCACAGCAAATTCACTGGTCACATGGCAAACTCACCTCATCGTCACTGTCTGACGTCTCAGAGTCTGAAGATGCTGTAGGTTTGCTCACAGGCGGCTCCTTTTCTTCAGAGTCACTGCGTTTCCGTTTGGCCAACGACAAGAGCTCCTGGTGTGAAAAACCACATATTTATTTTAAAATGTCGTAGTTAGCTTTACCAATCCAGGCTGGTGCACATGCACTTCCTCTGTGATATCTGAGCACATCCCAGTAACATGATTATCCCCGCTGACTAAGGAACAAAGTCTACTTATGTTTCATAAATATGCACACACAATTTTAATACAACTGGATACTACAAAAGGATTTTAAAATAACAAGCTAGAGGAAGTAAATACCACTACCATTACTTTCTTGGTATAAATGACATGGTGGAGGTGGTTGAGTCCCCATCCCTGGAGGTATTTAAAAGAAGGGTAGATGAGGTGCTTAGGGACAGGGTTTAGTGGTGGGACGGCAGTGCTAGGTTAACGGTTGGACTTGATGATCTTAAAGGTCTTTTCCAACCTAGACGTTTCTATGATTCTATGACATAAGACCATTTACTTTCAGAGTCATGTCCAGGTCTGGTTTATTTCAATTAGGTAATAAATAAAACCCATCCTAACTACATAGTGTAGCATAAACCCAAAATATCAAATGCCACTAGAGAGAAGCTCCTTCTTCTAAACCAATGAGATGTTTGCAATTATTCACTTTAAGAGGGAAATACTTTACACATCACCACAATGTCATGGCCGATAATATTTAGTCAGCCCGTTCAATTCCTTTTCACTGTCCCTACATACCACAGAATGCACCTAAAGCTTTGGATAGAAACAGAACAGTTACCAAGCTCAAAGTCTGCGAAACTAAGTAGAGCTGTTCTCCTCCAAAGGAAGCACTTGCAAAGGCAACACACACCAGCACGAAGACCTAAACGGCTCTCAAATAATCTCGTCATCTGCTGTTCATAGCTTCTTCAGATGACAGAAGCAGTAGTAGAAACCAAACATTTCTGAAGCTGCATTACTGTCTTTGTAGTCCATGACACATAATTTATTCTTAAAAACATTGCTCTGGGGCTGACGAACCTTGGCTGTGAGTAAAAATACAGACAAACCAACTTCTGCAGTCTTGGGAAGTCAATACCAGATTGGTTTGCATTAGTTTCACAACTGGAAGATTACCTCTACAGCAAATGGATTACAATTTAGTTCCTCAAATGAGAACATAAACACTGCAGAGACTGATGGCCTAGGCTACTTACCCACAAAGAAACCTTCCGCTAGTAATGGCATTTTACAAACCTTTCTCTGAAGTAGGCACGCAACATCAACAGAGCACATTTGTACATTTAACAGCTCTCTCCAGGAAGCTCCTGATGTTTTCTACAATCTCTCCTAGAATTTCTCTCTCACAACTGTCTCTAAGTAGTCTTTTAACCCAGATTACCTCCCTGGATAGTATCTTGGCATATTTACCACTACTTTTGTTCCAAGCAATTCTCCTTCTTTCTTTCTACCCTTGTTCTGTTTTCCAAGATACTATATTAGAAAGGCTCCTACGCCTTTGATTCAACAAGCCTAGATTGCCAAGGGAAGCTGTCAAACATTTAACCTACTGGGGCCCCACTCTGTGTACTCTCATCCTTAAATCACACCACAAAAACATTGCTTCCCTGCTATCTAATCTTCATCCTTGCACACACGTATCCCTGCCATTATAGTTGCTACAAACAGCTCCGTGGAGGAGGAGGCACCTACTACTCAGGTAGCAGAGGCATGCTTCCAGGGAACGATGGAACAGATGCAGAACCATGCGGGTATGCCTACCACCATCACTCCGATTGCCTGATCTATGCTAGAGCTAGTCCGACTCTTTCTATTCTCAAGATCTGAAGAAACTACCAAACTAGTATACTAGGGGTGAGATGATGGCAGCTCTAAAGACTGTAGAGGCATGCAAGATCAACAACACCAGGGCACACTCTGCTCCAGTGTACTTGTCTAACTGAGCCTCCAATCTGATTTTTCTGAAGCTCAAAGCCACAAAAATATTTTTGAGTGTTTGGGAAGGCTTTTTATTGCAACATAGCAACAGCTTCTATATTAAAAACCCTGAAGGTCCAGCACATAAATTACATCAGACATGTAGGCTTCAGCATATTTAACCAGTCCAACTTCTCCCCGGAACAAGCACTGCCATACAAGCTGTACCACACTTCACCTATAACGTCTTTATGTACCATTCGAATCACGTCATCCACACCTGCTATACACCGAAAGAGGAGTCTTTGAAAGCAGCCCCCTCCTCCAGAGAGGAAGATGCCCCCTTTGCAGCCCTGACACGGTTAAACTGATGCCAGACATCGTGCTTCCAATCCCAGGAGATGCCCTGATGATAAGTAAATACTTCCCCTCGTTAGATCTACGGGCTCCCAACTCCATGCAGTTTCCCATCAACAGAGCTCCCCCAGCTCCATCGCTAAGATTGAGGAGGGAGCATTAAACACGTATTAACAAGCCC